GTCAGCGTAGTAAGGTAACCGTTCCTCTCTCTCGATATCGTGCCCCCAGCAGCTAATACAGCCCTGCAGGCTGTACAGCCTGCAGGGCTGTATTAGCTGCTGCAGGGCTGTATTAGCCTGCAGGGCTGTATTAGCTGCTGCAGGGCTGTATTAGCCTGCAGGGCTGTATTAGCTGCTGGGGGCACGATATTGAGAGAGAGGAATGGTTACCTTACTACGCTGACCGTCAACGTCTTGTATCTACTCCCAATCTTTTGCGAGGAGTGGTACCCCCGCCATCTCCCGATTGGGTCTGCCTCTACTGGGGTCTGGGGCCTCTTTTCATTTTCTCTCTCCTCTTTCTCCCCTCCTTGCCATTTGCTTTTATTCTTTCACGGTCTGAGCCAGGGGGAACGACTGGGACGCACACAGACTCCAAGGACAACTTCCCTCTTCATCTCCTGAAGAAGCGCTATCTAGTGCGAAACGTTGAGAAAATCAAGCTCCTCCATCATCTTTCATTATATTAATCATGTTATGTATTTATGAACTTTTCAATCATGTTTTTTCAATCATGTTCAATTGCACAAGAATTCTGATTGTCATCTATATATGAATGAATTTAATCAATGTGGAGTGAGTTTACAGGGGAATCATGTTGTCAATTTTATCAATTCTATTTGCTTTTTAATCAATTAAAATATACTTTTTCAAGAAATTCTTGGTGTGCAAGTTGTCAGTCGGCTGCCTAAAAAACCCCAACTTTTCTGACTTTTCGATATACGACTCTCAGGGGTGTTGGCATCCTAAGCCTTGATCCAGGTCACTGTCTTTTCAAATCTATGTGTTTAAACTGTTTGCTTGACAAATATGTTTTTAATATAGGATGTAACCGTAACATCTAGTTTAAAGAGTGTGCTGGGCTTTCTAGTTTATAAAGCTCAGCACTGTGTTTTGCACTGCCTAAACACATCTTGAGTGCCTATGTAGAGCTTGTCACGTGACAGTTTTTCTAAAACAATATCGACTAATGATTTCAGGACAGTGGTGGAGCGCCAGAACCCGCGGCAACCCTGGTAGTTCTTGTGAAAATGCCAAGTATCGGCACTGGTATCTGAACTGGTATCTGAACATCCCTAGGATGTACCTATTACTCACCAAGGAGAACTTACTAAGACTGGAGCAGACAACATCTTTAGCAGCTGTGCATGGCAACCATTAAGCTTAACAAGCTGTAAACAGAAGCAGATTCTGTCTGCTCCGGTTTCTGTAAATGGGTTTTGTGAGTGTAATCTGATCTTTTGCTATTCAGATCTATTAACAGCATAGCCTTACACCTTAAAAACATTCAATTATCTGTCTTATGGAAGAGAAGAAAAAAAAACATTACTGTTTCATTATTGGCAGTCTGTTTCTAATTCTGTAGTCTGGTAATAATCTTGATATTTGGTCTGCAGTATCTAATTGCTAGTTACATAACCAACTCTGCTGGAGTTACTTGCAGACCCCTCTAGCTGGCAATCATGAACATTCTATCAGCGATGTATATATGATGACTAGCAAGGATGAGGTGGCATCAACAGTGATGTCCGGTTTGTCCTTGACATACCATTTGTCAGTAAATAAAACATGAACATTTCATTACTTCACAGAAAATCTTATATATCCTATGGCACTGCTCATCAAAGGTTACACTGAAGATACATTGAACGATAGATGGGCTGTAGTTGAACAGACCCTGAGGAAGAAGTATAATGAATGGTTTCATGAGTAAGAAGTGAAAATGATGAAAGGTAACGTGTCTTTTTTGTTTCTCCCAGGGACTGGTTAAATGCATTTAGTCCTCCCATCATTCCAACAAGTCAAAACTTGGATCCTTTACTCAAGCTTAAACAATCCAGCCAGAGCTGCTGTAATGAAGGTAAGAGGGTCACTGTGGGATGGTACAGCATCAAAGAAAAGTCAATCCATCATGAGTCAATCAAAGACAGTTTGCTGAATAAAGGAACCCAAGAGGTTCATAAAAACTTTTCTAAAAAGCTGAACTATAACATTTGTTAATAGCTCCATCCATCCATCTCATTCTGCAGATTGTTTTAGGATCGACAGGCTTTGGCCTTGTCATTGGGCAAATGCAGCTTGCACTTGGGTGGATTCTGCTTGCATTTATGACCTGTATGAGACATTTGAGGTCATTCACTGTTCATTTGACCTGCAGCTGATCTGCTGTATAAACCTACTGCTTTTGCAACTATATTGACTTGCATAGGAAGAGAAGCAGTTCTAAAGGGAACAAAAGTATGTCCCCACAGACCATTATCCCTATCCCGACCGATGACGGAATTATACAGCCACCATCGTTCAGTTCGTTAACAACCGGTGACGGGACAATTCTGACAATCGGTACAATCAGCGCTGGTCTGTGAAGGGACCAGCAGCTCACTGAGTTACTGCTGTTGATGGGTTCGTCGGGGTCCTGGCTGTATTGTAAACTCCTGGCCAGCTGTGTGTTACAAAGTGATACAAAGTATCTCTGAAGGGAATACTGTATTCTCCTCAGATATAGTAAGTATCAAAGCCCATGAAAATAAAAAATACCATCTAGTGCCCCCTAGTTTAAAAAAAAATAAAATCAATTTTAAAAATGAAAAAGTTTTTAAAATTTTTAAATATGTAAAAAAAGTTTAAACAAAATAAGTTTAATAAAAAATATGATAAGATAACATAGCACCGAGGAGGCTATTAAAGATAGGAGAAACACATACCACATTCTAAAATTGTTCTTCGGGACGCAGAAGCGATCTGGCGACAGGTAAGTCGCCAGGATCGCTTCTGTTGTAAAGCCGACAGTCGGCTCTACAAGTTTAAACAGAGTCCCGGCGGCAAAAGTCACCGGGAGTCTGTTTAAACAGCCCCGATGCTGGCGACGTACACTGTACGTCGTCAGTCACGAAGGGGTTAAATTGTATTTTACTCCTTGTATTTTGTGACCTATAACTCCAAACTTAAACCCCAGACATATGATACACCCTATAAATCAGGACAAATAAAATAATTTATTATGAATTATTTTCTGTTAGCTACACTAATTGTGTAGACATTATGATTGCCAAAGCTGTTTAAAAAAAAAATAAGAATTTATATATACATATGTCACATCAAATTAAAGCCCATTTTGTCCTTTAAAAAACGGTTTATCATATGTGTAGGTGTAATGCATGAGGAAGATGAAAACTATGGTTAAACAAATACAGCAAAAATGGCAAAATTGCACCTGTCCCCAGGAGCGAAAACATTTTCTGAAGCTGTGTCACTAAGGGATTAAAGAAGAACTCAAGGCAATTTTTGTATTAACCCTTGAAGTGGGGCTTCCCCCGCACTGCAAGGGTTAAGTGCTCATTTGTGTCCTGGGTTAAAAAAGTTATACTCACTCGGTGTTCTGAGCCGCCTTCTTCTTCGACCGATCCTTCCAGAGTCTCTCCCCCTCCTCTGCAGCGGTCTAAGGTCCCGTAAATCATCAACATTTATACACTGTGTATAGATGTGAGGATGCTGAGGAAGATTCCAATGTGCTGTGGAGGAGGAGACAGGCTGGAGGAAGTGCTATGACAGCTGGCCGGCTCGAGGCTTCGGGTGACTGTATCTTTGTAATTTTTCTCATGAGACACAAATGAGCATTTAACCCTCGCAGTACAGGGGTACCCCACTGCAAGGGTTAATAAAACATTTTCCTAGAGTTATTCTTTAACCCTTTCGCTGCCAAGGACGTACGGCATACGGAGCTACAAAAGTGCTCCTGGCTGGCCAGCTCAGTATGCCGTACGGACCTGGCATTTACAGTTCCACTACAAGCTCATGATTACTATGTGTCCCCAGTTATGAATGAACAGGCTGTGATTTACATCACAGCCTGTTCATTCATGAATTTCTGAATGGGGAGTAGCACTCCCTATGGAGGCTTCTCCCCATTCATAAACTGCTTGATAGTAAATAGGTGTCCTAGACATGGAGATTACCATCCCATAGCCACAGCTGACAGCTAGTTAAAGGTTAAAGAACCAGTGCACTTTTAGTTCCAATATTTTCCTTATGATAGATTTACTTTAAAGTACACATACTCCATATTAAACTTCAAAATAAAAAGTACTACTTAAAGAGGAACTTTACCCACCAATGTCATATCTCGCAAAACAGTTACTTTCAAGGCATGCCAACTCACAAGGTTGTCAGTATGCTATTTCAGCTCTCAACTGAACTTTCAGTTCAAAAGTCCCAAATGGTGGGTGTCATAGCTTATTACATGTGCAGCACCTTGGCAACCTTGATCCAAATAGAAGCTAAGATGGCACCTTCCTTGGTAGTAAGGGTTGCAGTTCCACTTTAAGCCAGACCATGTGTTTCGATAGACTTTGTGTTAATAAGTCTATTATAGAGTACACGTTACCTTCATTGGAAAAAGAGAATCAGCCACTGCATCCGAGTTCCCTCCATGGAGAGGTGAAAAGTCAAGGTTGGTTGAGGCAGGACAGCAAAGTACAAGAGGTTTTAAAACTCATTCTGCAAAACACAAAAAAGTACTTTTGCTTCGTCTTACATCATTTCAAATGGCATTGAACTATAAATCATTCCATTATCCATTCATTTAGTAAGAGAACTAATATTTTATATGAATACAGTGTTCCAAGGACTACATTTGCATATCAGTTAGGTCTACATTAATTTCTGCTGGAAACAATGAATAAAGTCAAATGATAAAAGCTGAATTAATTCACTTTCCCTCATGTTTAATGTGTATTGATACATCCAATTGCTAAAAACAAGATGTGTTCCCGAGTTATTATGATTTATTGACCTTTAAATATCTTCAGCATCAATGCGGTCTTGCCGTTTCCTAATGCTAAAACAGTTTCCGTAGCGAATGCTGAAGATAAGAGAGGATGTTGATTCAACTGTGAATTGTGCACCAAACCTAACTCTCACATTTTTTAATTGAGATTTAATGAGGATGAAAAAACACCTACTACCAACTAAAACAAAACATGAATAAACAGCATTTTCAAAAAGTAATCCAAGGTCACAAAAAGTGATTGATACTTTTAAGGGCTTGTGTGTAATTTATGGATTGGAATAGCCAATGGAAATGTGAAAGCAGCTTAAAGAACTTTAACACTTCCTTAGAGGTCACTGAAGCCTACAGGCTCAGGCCAAATTTAGCAGTATTTTTTACATTTTTATTTATTTAACTTTTAAAATGTTATTTATTTTATTATCTTTTACTTTTTATACCTTTTTACTTTCAATAGTTCTTTATTGAAGTCAAGTGAAGCATACGTAACAAAATGCATATAACATAACCAACTTAAAGGTGTGGAAAACGTCAACTAGTCAGAATTAACATTCATACTTTTTACAACTTTTTATTTTAGCCTTGTTTTCCCAAAGCGAGGCTAAATGTAGAAAAACTACTACACTGCATGTCCGGGGTGTCGGGCAATAGGCATTGCACACCCCTGCTGCCCCTCTACTCCCCGCTGCCCCTCTACTCCCTGCTTCCCCAAGGCTGGGCCTCGGGTGGCCTTGTGGGAAATCCGGCCCTGAGTGTCAGTGTGTGTTGGTTAACTTGACTATAACTCTATGATTAATTTGCATACCTAAATATTTTTTTAAATTTAAAAAAAAAAAAATGTATTTGGTACACTAATAAAAACCATGCGCTATGTTTTATTATAGACTGGCAGGTGGACAAAAATATAAAGTGGACAAAATGTATAAAAACACACACACACACACTTACTTTTTTAATACTCTAAATATGTCAGACAATTACAGTTTAAAGAACTCTAGGAATTTTTAAAACTTACCCTTGTAGTAGGTCTACCCCACACTGGAAGAGTTAAGTGCTCATTTTGTCTAGAGGAGTCAAATAAAGCAGATACACTCACCTGATCCTCGTTCAACGCTCACATTTCTCCCCCTCCGCATCCCTCGGCATCCTCAAGTGTATTGCAAGTCAATGGACCTGCATTAAATGTCATGACATTAGCAGTTCTTAGACCACTGGAGCCCAGGGGAGAAGAGGCTCTGAGGATCGGTCTAGCAGCCTGGCAGGACCGAGTGTCAGGTGAGTATATCTGCTTTATTTGACTCCCCTAGACAAAACAAGCACTTAACCCTTGCAGTGTGGGGATAGCCTCACTTTTTTAAAATGTCTGAAATCTTCTTTAAAGCAGATCACACTACCATCTACAGACCTATAGGCTGTATTGGCCTCTGCAAGCTGAAAGTATGTTTTTCCCAAAGAAGCCTTCACCTTGCATGTGATCGTAGCTGACATAGTTATGATATGATCGGTTATCATTCCCATTGGTTCCAAATCATTAGTGTTGATCAAAACTGTAAACAACAGCAGTGTATGACAGCTAGCAGTCTTGCAAAATGTTGACTGATACCTGCTAAAAGGAGAACATTTATTAAATTGTATCTAAAGCCACAACTTTGTTATATAGAGTGGTGAAGGATTAGAACCTCTGTCAACATTTACTGCTGTCCAGGGCTCTGTCAGAGCGTTTCCCCTTACTCACTGTCCTGAGGACAACGTGTCACCAGACAGGAATTGAAGAACATTTCCAGCAGCAACACAGACAGAAGTTTAAGTTAAAGGACAATTAAACCCTTGTGTTTTTTGTATATATCTCCTGTTAAAAGGTTAAAACTTACCTGTGTCTGCGCTACGTGCTTTTTTTTTACTTTATGTCACTTTAAGTAGGAGAATTCTAGAACTTCTATAAGCTTTGTATTGCTGTCTGTTTCCCCTCACTGACTATCCAGTTAAAGGTTGTCCCCAGAACATAAAGTGAGGGGAAATCTATCTAATATAGCCCCGGATAGCAGTAAAACATGACAGGGTCCTAATCCTTCCCC